TATGCATGGGCTTTGTAAAACTAAAGTGCTAGATGAATATCAGGTGCGTTTAGTTTATCAAGTAATTATCCAACCGACTATAGAAACACCTGACCTGCAGCATTCCTATTTCTTAGGGAAGAAACTCAGTACATATGGAACAAAACCCATAAAACAACATTGGCAGAAACCTCAGAGTTCTCACACTCATACACCAAGCAATGTACAAACTAGAATTTGTCTATAACTCAATCTTGGAACCATAGTAAAGTTTTGAAAAGAAATTAAGACATTTCAGTCCTAAATCTAAATAAAAATAGCTAAACTAAGAAATTATTATTTTAGGTCTAATATATGGCTCAACATTTAATAAAATACTAACATCTGCAATTCCATAACTTGGCTATAATCAAGCTGAAGTTGATCTTTATGCTACTCGAAACCTTGCTTTTCACAATAATAAAAATAATATTAATGAGGTTACTAACTTCATTTCAGGACCAGAAAAAGATTTTTACTCATAGAATATGTTTCTCTCATTACAGAACTTCATTCAAAGCCAAATATCTTACTTCTTTTGGATTGGATTGGTCCGTAAAGAAATCAGCGCTCTCTGGACTTGGGAAGATAACTCAGCACCCTCTCTTGATGTGTAAGCCTCTAGAATAGATACTAGCTAATCAGTTCTATGGCTCACTGGGTGGGACTCAACTACTAACCAAAAGGCTGGACGTTTTAACCCACCCAGAGGTGGCTCAGAAGAAAGGCCTGGTGATCTACTTCTAAAACGCCACAGCCTTGAACACCCTGTAGAGCACCGTTCCCCATTGCACACGTGGGGTCATCATTAGTCCAAATTAATTTGACAGCAACTGGTTTGTTTATGTTTTTGTTTTGTTTCATTTTAGTTAGTTCTATAATCAGAGATTCTGGTTTATAGTCTTAAAATGAAAAAGAAAAAATGCATTTATATGCATGCATACACGGAGCCCCGGTGGCTAAGTGGTTAAACATTCGACTGCTAACCCAAAGGTCAGCAATTCGAATCCACCAGCTGCTGGTTGGAAACCCTGTGGGGCAGTTCTACTCTGTCCTGTAGGGTTGCTATGAGTCGGAATTGACTCCATGGCAATGGGTTTGGTTTTTTGGGTTATACGCATAAACGCATATGTATATAGTTATGTATACACACGTACACATACACACACTCACGTCAAAAGTTCTAAGCTCAGTTATGGAGATGTGAAGGTAGGGGGACTTTTCAAGTTCAATTCCATGTCTATAGTTCTCATAAGATTCTCCATAAAAATTTTAGGGCACAAAGCAATAATCTTGATAAAAAAAGAAAAATATACCACCTTATCTGTGAACGAATATCTTTTATTATGTCTGCATAGATGAATATGTATTTTACAGTGTTTATTTTCTTTAGTTTTACTTCAAGCGGTTGGAAAGCATCAAAGCCTGGAGATTGTGGAATTATAACAGCAAAAACGATAGCGCCTTCTGACTGTTTAAAACGCAGGCCGTGTATTTGTGAGAAGAAAATTGCTCGTCTTGCTACCTGAGAACAAGAGCAACAACAACAACAACAAAAAACACTCAATTGTGTTTTCTTATGAGACTAGGAAGTTAGAGAGTCTCTCTCTCATCTCAGAGGATGTTTGCTTTTTTTTTTTTTCCAAATGGGCTGTACTTATATTCTAAACTCTGATGGAGATGAGGCTGAAATATAAGATGCAGCAGACCTACCACTTCTGCCCCTCTTGCATCTAGACTGCTTCATGATACCAGTTAGGAACACGGATTAGTGGAGTACTAGTGCTTCTGATGAGTTTTAGGAGGCAGAGTTTTGTATACCCTATGTCTGCAACTCACATATTTAGTACGTAATCCTGTAAACTTCAGTCACCATCCTGCACATTTTGACTGGGAATGACTGTAAATAGTAACCAAAGTCATTATTCTCTATCAATTGTGTATGTATCGCTGTTTGACTCCTTACCTTTTAGGAGAAAGGCAGTCCAATAGACAGGAACGAGAACAGTAACTCGAATCAGGTCTGAGTTTGACACCTGCTCCCACACCTAACAGTTACGTGCTTACTTGCGAATCCAAACTGCCAAACTGTTTTCCAACGTGACTGTACTATTTTGCATTCCCACCAGCAATGAATGAGAATTCCATTTGTTTGCATCCTTCTAACATTTAATAATGCCACTTTTTTAAACCACTTTCATAGTAAAGGCGTAGTGGAATTTAACTCTGGTTTTAATTTGTATTTCCCTAAAGAATAAACGATGTGAATATCTTCTCTTGGGTTTTTTGCTTGTTTATTTGTTTGTTTTGTCATCCACGTATCTTTATGATGAAATATTTATTCAAATCATTGCCCAAGTTTATTGGGCTGTTTGTTTTCATGAGAGTTCTCGACGTAGTCTGGATACTGGTACTTTATCAGAAGGGTTTTACACACATGTCATTATAGTTTTTCATTCTCTTAACAGTGTCTTTAAAGGGCAGAAATTTTTAATTTGATGAAGTACAATTAATCAATCTTTCCTTCTACGATTTGTGCCTTTTTTATCCTTAAGAAATCTTTACCTAACCTAAGGTTGAAATTTCTTTCTCTTATGTTTTCTTCTAGAAGTTTTGAGTTAACATAAAATTCTATATTCCATTTCAAATTTGTTTTTGTATATGGTGCAAGGTATGGGTCAAGGTTTCCTTTTTTCTTGTATATTGATGCTTGCTGAAAGTGAAGAGGACTTGAAGTACTTACTGATGAAGATCAAAGACCACAGCTTTCAGTATGGATTACACCTCACCATAAAGAAAACAAAAATCCTCACAACTGGACCAATAAGCAACATCATGATAAACAGGGGAAAAGATTGATGTTGTCAACGATTTCATTTTCATTGGCTCCACAAACAACACCCATGGAAAACAGCAATCAAGAATCGAAAGACACATTGCATTGGGCAAATCTGCTGCAAAAAACTCTTTAAAGTGTTGAAAAGCAAAGATGTTCCCTTGAAGACTAAGGTGCGCCTGACCCAAGCAATGGTGTTTTCAATCCCCTTATATGCATGCAAAAGCTGGAAAATAGATAAGGAAGACCAAAGAAGAGTTGATGCCTTCGAATTGTGGTGTTGGTGAAGAATATTGAATATATCGTGGACTGCAAAAAGAACGAACAAATTTGGCTTGGAAAAAGTACAACCAGAATGTTCCCTAGAAGTAAGGATGGCAAGGCAATGTCTCACATACTCTGGACATTTTCAAGAGGGAGCAATCCCTGGAGAAGGACATCATGCTTGGTAAAGTAGAGAATCAGCAAAAAAGAGGAAGACCCTCAATGAGATGGCTTGACACAGTGGCTGCAACAATGGGCTCAAGTATAACAATTGTGAGGATGGTGCAGGACCAAGTGGTGTTTCATTCTGTTGCACATAGGGTTGCTATGAGTCAGAACCGATGCCATGGAACCTAACAACAACAACATGTATAAGGAGCCCTCGTAACACAATGGTTAAGAGCTGAGGCTGCAACCCAAAGGTCTGCAGTTCGAACCCACCAGCCACTCCTTGGAAACCCTATGGGTCAGTTGTACTACATCCTGTAGGGTTGCTATGAGTCAGAATTGACTTGACAGCAATGGATTTTGTTTTATAAATGGATATATGGGGTCTTGGGGGCACAACGGTTAAGCGCTTGGCTGCTAACCAAAAGGTCAGCCATTCGAATCCACCCGCCATTCCTTGGAAACCTTAAGGGGAATTTCTTGTTGCTCTTATCATTCCACAGTGTCCATTCCTTGATTCTTTCCGAACGCTCGAAGTAACACTAAACAAAATAAACACTGTAAAAAAATTCATTTATGCAGACATAATAAAAGATATTGGTCCACAGACAAGGTGGTATGTTTTTCTTTTTTTACCGAGGTTATTGCTTTGTGCCCAAAACTTTTTTATGGAGAATCTTATGAGAAATATAGACACAGAATTGAACTTGAAAAGCCCCCCTCCCTTCCCAATGGACTCATCTCCATAGTTGAGCTTAGGAACTTTTGACATGAGCGTGTGTATGTGTGCGTGTGTATACTTTTACTGTCCCTGAATGCCTGCATCACAAGGCCAGTCACTCTACACTCTTGACTTCCCCCCGCAGTTGCTTGTTACTCAGTGGTAGAAGACAGAGATGGTTCCCTAGTTCCCTTGTCCAGCATCTGTCTTATGTGAACCTCAGTTGCATGATCTTGATAGTGGGATTTTGCAACCTTCTTGCCCACTTTCTTGTGTTGCCAGCCAAAGTCTTCCTTGTATTTGTGGGAGATCTTGCACAAGCTGGAGCATGTAGTGTAAGAGTTTGTTGCTCACTATGCACCCTGGTGGAAATCTAATCAGTCTTCAGAGCTGATTCTTTGTCCTTCCCCAAGCACTCACAGGGACTCATTAAGAACAAAAACCCTTAGCCTTGAAGCTAATGTAAAAAAAAAAAAAAAGTTCTAAGTAAGCAGGAAAATTCCATGCTTTAAGAGAGAAGAACAGTTTTTCAAATATTATGTCATTGTGATTGTTAAGGTTGGTGGTCAACTTGTCTGGGCCATGATTCTCAGTGGTTTGACAGTAATGTAATGATGTAATCAACCTCATGATGAGATATGCTATGAGCAGCCAATCAGTCCAAAGGGAGTTTCCTTGTGGGTGTAGCCTGCCTCCAGTATATAAATGGATGTTCCAGCAAGGCTCTTGCTCTGGATCCTGCATCCAGCTCATCGTCATCTGAACTCCAGTTCTTGGGACTTTAGCTGGGAGCTTCCCTTCAGATCTTGGGTTCATCTGCCCCTGCAGCTACATGAGTCAGGAGAAGAAGGTTCCAGCCTGACACCTGACCCACAGATTTAGGACTTGCCAGCTTGTACAACCACGGGAGCTATTTCCTTGAGACAGACGTATGCGCACATAAACATATGCGTGTGTGTGTTATGTATGTATGTATGCATATGCGACACGGGTTTTGCTTCTCTAAAGAACCTAGCCTAAGAGAGTCATCAGATTTTAAATTGGCATATAAGCATGAGACTTTTCCCCTTCTTTCAAAAATCAAAAAATAGAAACATGGTGAATTTGAATTAGGATTACACACTGCATTTAAATTTAAACTTAAATTAATTAAAATTAAATACACTTAAAATTTTAGCTCTTCAGTCACAGTAGCTACATTTCAGGTGCTCATTAGCCACAAGAAAATAATGGCGACCACACTGGAGAGCACAGATATAGAGCATTTCCCTCATCACAGAAATTTCATTTGGATAGTGTTTTTAGAGACTATTCTAATAGTCTAATTTACAAAGTAAGGCCAATTATATTTTAAAGTGCTAATAACAACTTACATTCCACCAGCAGCGCACAGGCAACCCCACTGCCATTCAGCCTCTCCAGCATTTCATAAAGTCGCACTTCTTATTTTAGACTAATGAATGATTGTTAAATGATCAACTCCTTTTACTAAACAGACTACTGACCTCGGCCTTATATCAAAGTTCCAGAAATATATGGGTATTGCCTACGTTAAGCTTCAAGAACCACGCTGAACAAGACCACCCGATGATCTGTCCCTAATGCGTATATGGAGGACTAATTGTTGACAAAGCCACAAAGGCAATCCAATCAGAATGGATAGCCTTTCAACAGACAGTGCTGGCAAAATTGGAAACCAATATGCAAAAAAAAAAAAAGGACTTAAATTAGTACCGTATACAGAAATTAACTCAAAATCGATCATATAGCTAAATGTAAAATCCAAAACTATAACATTTCTAGAAAAGAAGTAAGACAGTATCTTTGTGGCATTGGGTTAGGCAATGATTTCTTAGATATGAAACCAAAAGCACAATCCATACAAAAATAAATGGGTAAGCTGGACTTCATCTAAATTAAAAACAACTTGTCAAAAGACAGTGTTAAGAAAATGAAAAGATAAGCTACAAACTGGGCGAAAATCTTAACAAAGCATATATTTGATAAAATGCTTTCATCTAGATGAAAAACTTGCAAATCAAGATTAGAGACCAATAAAACAATTTTCAAAGATTTGAAGACTTGAATAGAAACTTCATCAAAAATACATATGGATGGCAAATAAACACGTGGAAATATGCTGAAAATCATTAGTCATTAAGGAAACGCACACTAAAATCAAAATGAGATATCCCTAAATGGCTAAAATTTAAAGACAATTGTTGGCAAGGATGGGATGGGACTTGTACTCTCATACACTTCTGGTGAGAATGTAAAATGGCACAACCACTTTGGAAAAGTTTGGCACTTTCTTAAAAAGTCAAACATGCACTTACTATAGGATTCAGCTATTTTACTCTTTGGTAGTTACCCCAGGGAAAAGGGAGTGTATATCCATATGAAGGATTGTACATGAATGACAACAGCAACTTTATACAGATACCTCTTTTCATTGGCAAAGATGCTGCTGGCAAAGACAAAGAGATTGTTGGTAACATACTGTGACGGTAGAAATATAAAGAAGTAGGAAATCTTGAACATTGCTCATGAAAGTTGACACATATACAACCTCTTTGATGGACAATCATTAAATATCTATAAAAAATCAACACAAATACCTTTTAATACAGAAATTATACAGCTGGAGATTTATCCTATCTATGTGTATAATACATGACAAATTATACTTTATATGTGTTATTCATTGCAGCACTTTTATATAATCACAAAATTCTGGAAAAAACTAAGTATCTATTGAAATAAAATTGGT